AAACATAATATATAAACCCGAAAATTATAATTGACTAGACGGTAATATGAACCACAAAATAAATTTTAGATTATAATTTGTACAAGTAATAGACTGATAAGTCAGATATTTTGTACTATTCTCATTTAGGAAACAACATTTTTCCTCGGATTCATAAGTTCATAACTATGCTATTTAATTATATTAGATAAAAACAGCAAATGCTATAATTTAATACAAAGCTTTTATCGCATATTAAATTTTTATAGCTACATTTTTATTTTCACTAAAGCCCGAGGTTAATTATACTGTAACTACTATTTTATTTTTTGACACAACTCGTTAGTAACGTTAACACAATTATTAGTCTGCAGCTGTTGTATGCAATTGAAATTTATTATTTTATAAAATTTATATAATTTAATTTATTTTATAAAAATTGAAAGATAAACAATTGCAATGTATAATTATTAGTCTAATCCAATACCAAATAGATCATTAAATAAATAATTTAGGCACCGAAAGCACCTGATTTAAATTGCATAGATATTTGAATGGGTGAGTAAATTAATTCACCTCAAAATAATAGTTTGAATAAAATATTTTATGTTTTTATGATTTTATAAAGATATCACCAAAAATTGATATGTTCGTATATTATTTAAACTAACTGACACTTGCTATATAATGTTTACCCATACTTATAAGCATACTAAGTATTTCCATATAAATAGAAGCTTGAGTAGTACTTCTGAATGATAGTTATAAATTATCGTTGTTTGCAGTATTTTACGAGTACCTATACTTGTGTCATGTTTGCATACTAAATAACTTGAGTCTTGACTAAAGTACCTTTTAGAAAATACGTAATAGTTAATAGAATTTAAATATCTTGAGATAAATGTAAATGTAATATTAAAATGTAATACATTTTAAATTTAAATTTATAACTGAACTGAGAATACAAAAGAACTCAAAAAGAATCTCGTAGGAGGGGAATGATTTGAACAAATACACAACGGGTGGTTTATAATAAAACTCCATGACGCCGAAATATTAACCTAACAATGAAGAACAATATTTATATGAATAAAGATAATTTCTCAGAATATAAATATTGATATAGTGAATGTTTGTATCATGTATTTCAATGTATTGAAATCGAAGGTATTTCACTAAAAAAACAACAGAAACATTTCTTACAACGACAAGTCCACACTTTATGTCTGAAGGTTTGATATTAATACAATTTTGAGATAACAGTGTTTTCTGAAATCAATCAACAGCAAAGCGATATGGATACTGTATTCAAATATTGAAATAAAAATATTTAGGTAAATCGGATCACATGTTGTAGAATTCTTAGATATCGAGTGAAATTTAAGGTTTCGCACTAAGCGATGTATAATATTGTATGTTGTAAATTGTAACTTTCTCGAACAACACTTTTTGAACAAGTAATAACTAATAAGTTATTCAAAAGTTCAGAAAAAAAAACCTTAAATTGATTGAAAAAGATACAAATGGTACCTACTTCTCGTGGGATGTGACTTAATAATTAAACAAATGTAACATGCAAGTTTGTTTTTAGTTTGTGAGAACTGTTCAAACAATCGAATATAATTTTATAAAACATAATTATTTCGTTCGTTCAATACAGTTTTACATTGGATTAATTTATTTTATTGCTGATATCTTTTTTAATTTCTACTATACAATTATCAAACGCCTACTAAAAAAAACAATACTTCTTCTATATAAATTTAACTATATACTTTGATTATCAATTATTGTGTTATTATTATAGTGAAAAATACATGATATTGGACACTTGAACATCAATTATTACACAATAGTGTGATCAAATGTAATGTTTCTTTAACAAAACAAATGATAAAGACCACATTAATATTATTTAAATGAATACGTTTAAAATAACAGCTAAACAAAATATTCTGGTAGGAAAAAATACGTTTACAGAAGAAAAGGTGTACAACAGAAAAGTTTGCAAAATAAAATTAATACATGTTCGCAGAATGGCAATTAAGGTTGTCCACTTTATATAATAGTATGAAACATGTTTGGCGTTTCGAATGAGTTCTGAAACGATAAGAATAACGATAGGTATAGAAACCATTCTACGAAAAAGATTTCGAAAACATCTATAGCCCACACAAATAAATCATAATTAATCATGTCAAATCGATCAAAAATTTTGAAGTAGATATTTACTATTTTCTGGAAAATAATCAAACAAGAACATGGACTAACTATGAATACAAAGGTATTGCAAATATTAAATCAACTACAGGGAACAAATCATGTCAACCATAATTATACATATATGTTCGTTATTTTATTATTATTTTATCACTGATTTTTTTTAAAATAAAGTTGGCTGAATGCACTCTCGAAATATCCCCATTAATATTGACGTTTATTTCACATGGTCGCATTTATTAAAATTGTATTTAATTTACTATGTCAACGCTATTATTGTAGGTACTTCAAAATTAAATTTTTAGGCATCAGAAATAAAGTCTCAAAAGTTAACTTGTTAATTTCTAACAAAAAAAATATAATTTTAAAAGCACCTGCTTGGGTAAATACTTTTAAAAAAATGTGCCCACTCAAGTTTACCAAAAATACCGTTCTTACTCGTTGGGGTACGTGCCTTAAAGTAGCTTTTTACTATGGTAAGAACTTTAACAATGAAGGTATTGAAGAGTTTACACCTGAAGACATTTCTTGTTTTAAGTATGCACATATCGGGTCTTGAGACGTAGAAAGAAGTTTTTCAAAATATAAATCTATGCTACGTGACAATCGTAGAAATTTTAAATTTTAAAAATAAAATCAAATTTCAGAACTTCATGTTGGTACTCGTGATAAAAATAATATCACACTTTTTGTTATTAATTTTGCATTTATTTAATTGAGCAATAGGTATAAATGTATAATAGTTTGTACACATTTGTAAACAGACTTATACTTATATTTAAATTGTAATTTTTTCACGTGATTATATATTTTGTAATTGTTTTAAGATGTTCAGTTTTTTTTTAATACGCAATAAAGAATTTTTTGCATATTTTTGAATTAGTTGAGTGCATAAATATGTGCATATTTAACAACAATTTTTGCATAATTATCCGGGCCTTGGACTAATGAGTAATGACTAATGATAATATGATTTTCAGTACTTAAATATACTTATGTTTTAATTTTATTTAATTTCATAATAAGTTTGATTTAATAAATTAATTTATTAAATACAATTAAATTTAATAATTGGGATTATAAGAAATAAGAGATAATATTAATGGGGTGATTTTATACATATGGGATATTTTTAACAAAAATATTTTTAATGAGGGATATTCTGAAGCACAGGATATTATGAGGGGTAACCAAGTGCTGGTAGTGGCAAAATATGGCACATGTTGACCAAATTTTAATTGCACTCACAAGTACTTTTGAATTTCATCGTTAAATTTTTAACATTCAATGAAAAATAATTTCTAAATAATGATAATAAGAATATAGTTATTAGTTGCTAATTTTCAAATGTTGAAAAATTGGAACTCACTTCCAGACATATTTTTAAATTTTAAAAGTGTCATATTCCATACTCTTAATATTTGCATTAAGTTGATGATAATTTATTTTCCGCGGTAGATACGATCAAATCAAAAAATAAGAATAAGTTAGACGTATGAAATTAGTAGTTAGTACTGCTTGTGTTTCATTAAAACTAACGAAGTAGTACACCTATAGGTTAGGTTATAATTAGGTTATATAGTATTTAAAAACGATCTATTGAGTAATGAAAAACAAAAACGAAAGTCAGATTGAAAATATAATGATAGACATATAGATGTAGATCCAACTATAAACGAGATAATATAAAATGTTCTTATATATACCGTATGGTTATTGGTTGTTCACGATTTTTAAAAGATCTCACCCCGCCTCCTAACTTTGATCAGCACTAAAAAATAAATATATTTATAGATATAAATTCATGTACTAGTGGCACGTGGAAGTATTTTTAAATTTTGATTAAAAATGTTTGGTATGAGTGCATGACCCGAAAAAGGTTCACCACCCGTGGTACCTATATAGGTAATATCGGTACAGTAAATCATATCTATACGAGCGAAATCTTCTGTGATAATATAATATTATTTCTCCGCGTTACTTGCGCCGCGTTCCGAGAAAACAAATAAAAGTTTCTTCAAATTAAAAATTCGTCACGCGTATTATTCGTATCACATTCGCCGATCAACTTCCCGAAATAAGCTGCACCACGAACAGCCGTTTCGACCGGACGCGGCATCCCGAGTACCGACAATATTCGGACGATATTAGATAACTTTACGCCGCCGGGGTCAACTGGTGACACTGAAATTTGGTTAGAAATCCCATTTATAATATTATTATCATAACTCAACCTGTTCTTCTTGGCCTTCGGCTGACGTCACAGGTAATGAAATACCGAAATATATTTATAAAAAACAGTGTAGCCACTCCCGACAACGTAATATGAAAATAACCAATTTCTAGTCATTCATACCTAATAAATAATAATTAGGTAGTAAGTAATAAACATCATGATGAAATAACCATTACATTTAATAATAATTCATTATAATAAATATCTTTTAAGTTTGATGGACAATGTTTAAATCTTGTTTTATATTAGCTGCATTTAACATTTAAGTTGGTATCGCATAACAAATTGTGAACGTTTTTCAATCTTATATAGTTGTGGGAAAACGTACGTAACAGTCGCCAATGGCCAAAATGAATTGAACGAGTTATAAAGACGATGAGCAGGTAGCCAAATGAAAGTGTCGCCAGTCGACCCGGCGTAGAATTAACTACAAAATAAACGTAATTTATTGTTTATTTATAAAAATTAACTTATACCCTTTTTTTACCTCGCCGTCCAATTAATATTCGTCTTTATAGGTTTTATATATTATTATATACAACGCGATAAATAAACACAAACTCACCTGGTCCACTCGCTGCACCGAAGGGAGCCAGAGTACGGGTATCCTGTAGCTGGTCGCTGTCAACGCGGGCATCGAGCCAACCGGTTCGGGTATGAGCAGCAGACACGCGACGATCGTCTTGTTCGCCCACAGGTCGAGCACTGCTTCCAGGGCGCCCGTGCTGAACCTGTTGGCCGGCATTTCGGCGTACAGCACCCGCACCGACGGCGGCATCGCCCTGTCCATGGTCCTAGGCAACAGTGAACCTTGGTCGTGGCCATGGATCACCGAAACGTAAACGTGGTTGCTGTGCAAGCGACGAATTCGCGGTAGACGAGAAAATCGAAAAAACAAAATCGATTAATTAAAACGCGGGTCACGGTTTTTCGTATAATGATTATTATTATTATTATTATTATTATTATTATTATTATAAAATAATCGACGGGCGACGACGTGACGCGTAATGTCATTATCGCGAGTCGTGCGAAAATCGATTTCCGACGAGACGCACGAATGGCGGCGTTTACTGCAGGACGTATAGCTAGCTAAGAAAAAGGTAAGTATATTCTAAATTTTATATAATACATTATTATTATGTACCTTTGCGATAAGACGAACGGCAACAGCGTCAGCGCCGTCATCAGCGCCGCGAACGTTGACTTCATTTTCCTGTCAGAACGAAAAAAAAAGTTAATTATAAAATCAGAATATTATTGAAAGACATTGTAATAAATGTGTGCGAGGACCAAAAGGGAAATTGGATTACCAAAACAGCAAAAAAAAAAAAAATTTACATCAGCTCATCCGGACATTATAAATTATAATATATTATATTTTTAAATCACTGGAGTGAATCGCGAATTATTATTACGGCGTACCCACTACGGAGGTATGCTTAAACCATTATCAAATCCATTATAATATCGATAATATTCATCGTATAAGATATTCCCGTTTAGTTGTTTTTAACACCGGTGATTATGTTTCGGCATAAATATGTGATACCTACGTTAAAAATGTCGAAACAAAAATTGAAAAATATGTATAATGTTATCATGCGACACACTTGATATTAAGAAAGAAATAAATGGCTGCAATATACCCTGTGTGTAACAAACGGCGGCGCTTTCCATTACCGCATAACATGGACCAATACCACACACAAAATATAGTATGATATACCGCACAGATTTATAAAAATATATAACCTTGAGCGCTTGAGGCTTTTAGGCTCTAATACCGCACCTAAATTTATTAAAACCAATACAAATTGAAACATAAAAATGTAACATAGAATTAAATTCAAATTCCATAACATCAAAAATAAACGTGTTACGCCAAAACAATTAAAAAAAGCATCTATATAGTAGATGTATATAATAGGATGGCCATAAGTCTTTTTATTCGTACCACTGCCCCGTTGTCTCCTATAGAATCTTTGGTACACTAAAATGTGTGTGCGGTAATCGGATATTCGGTATTTTAAAATCTGTGTGTGGTTTTGTTCTATGCGTGTTTTGCACAATTTTGCGGTAATGGGCGATGCCCGTCACTAAATATTATTTCGACACAGTATAGATCACATCGAACTCATTAATATTACGATATTCCTATTTTACCGAATTTCGGTATAAATAAGTGTAGTTTAAACAGGTTCAACATATTATTATTATCATAAGAATTCATAATTTTAAGAAACTAAAATATAATATTCTCCGTCTAGTTTCGGGTAAAGTTTATTGCGCTCAATTATTACATGCGATATTATATAGTTTTGAAAGTTCGTAAATAAATAAGATTTTTCACTACATAAGTTAGAATTTCCACATAGTTTGAAATCGATTTACAAACTGTGTAAAGTACCCTGGAGAAAATTTCAGAATAAAAGATTATTACTAAGCTGTCCAGTTCTGCGTGCATGTGAACGACGCGTGCCACTGCAGTACGAACGACTCATAACAATCATAACCAGATATACACAATTGTACAGCTGCTGTGACTACACTCTCTTTTATTATTACAAACAATCGATCGTAGTGTAATACGGTGATTTATGATTTATTTATTGATATGCATTTATTGCTATTTTCCGTATACATATCATAAAAAATATAAATAATAATGTTTGTATACATCCGATTCGTGTTACATTTATATGTCACACTTGTTAGTTTGGAGGAGAGAGAAAATAATATAAATGAAATAAAAATGTAATAAAACCCGTCACATATCTGGGGTGTCCCTGGAGTCTATAATATGGTGCCCGCCTGTCTTTGATTGATGTAGCACCGCAAGCGGAAAGAATAGAATACCTACCTACCTACCTAGTTATTCAGACATTCAGCTTCATACTTCAATTTTCACACAGGTTGTTTATTTTAGAGAAATACAGGGAATTGCTGTGAAAATTCAAATAACGAATAAAGTGGTATTTTTTTCCTATTCAACGCTACGTCTAAATTTTGAATTGCTTAAAATATTGAACGTGTTCAGTAACTTTAATACAATGCTTTTGAAAAACAAAACCTCTTGTGATATTCTATGATATTGTTTTATCCATTTTAGTGATTGGATAGGTACCTCAGATAAATTAGAATATGCGTAAGTTGTATAAAATATAAGTAGCTTAAAAACGGCGCACCTTTTTAAATAAATGATGTGTTATTTAATTTAATTTTAAACTGAATCGATTAGTTTTTTAATCCATCAAAAATGATTACAATGTTATTATTTGATAATCAGAAGTATAGGATTTTAGAATTTAGAAACGTATACATTTTTTTATAACAAAAATAATATTACATTAACTGTGTATAAATAATTAGTATCTAAATTTACACGCCAAAAATATGCACACAAAAATTATCGGTTAACGCAAGTGTAAGGTAAATTGAAGTACGTAACTAAATTCAAATTTTTAAGAATTTCATCAAAATCTTGAAAATTTTGCAAACTATTTCGTACTTGAAAATCAAAAGCATGATAATTTAACTCAAGATTCTTCGTAAGTTTTTTACAGGAATTAAAAAAAAAAGTTTACGGCTTTAGCCACATACATTAATTATGAGCATTTTAAGTTAAAATATTGACGACATTGAATATTTAAACGTATAAAATAACGATTTATCCTTTAACGATTTTAGTTATTATTTTGTAATTAAAAAAACATTAATCACGTGGGTTTGAAACCTTTTTCCATTACGCACATTATTATTTTTCTATATACAAATAAATTTTCCAAAATATTTGGACTAATTTAAGATATGTATACCATGAAAGCATGGACCTATTCACGGTAACCTAACCTACCCACGACTTACGGTACTCGATTATTGACTTTTAAGCTAATAAATATAATAAAATGCGATGTTTTTGGCAAACATAGTTTAATAAACCGTACTACGAATGCAATAATAAATTATAAAATATCCTTAGGAATAAAGCCTACAAACACACCGGAAACGATACTCACTCAATAAAGAGGTAAACTTGAAACCCACCTATTATACACTACACAACTAAACAGACATACACTAGACTGACCTTCCCGGTGTTTCTCTTTTATTTTAAATACACGGGCAACAATTAGAGCAGAAATATTTTAAAAGCGCACTCATGAAATCTTTATTTTCCTGATACAACAAAATTTTGTTGACAACAAACTTGCATAAAGCCAATGGATCAATTCGTTAAGTGTTTTAACGATAATATTTACCTGGAATATAATATTTACTTGAAACGAAAACACGTCACCATACAACCCAAATCGTAAAATAATGTGAAACTTGTTGCTCTAAAACCCCACTTAATTTTTAACTAAACTGACATAAAAACCTATCATGAAACCTTTCAAGATAAATCCCTAAAAAGTGTTTAATAATGTTTAAATATTTCAAAAATCGAAAGTTTAGAGCAAGTTTGAAACCAAACAGAGCACGATTTAGTTCGCAAATAATACTGTGTGGTGTATAATATTAAACATTCAAATGTACTATAAGACCAAAAACTAACTATCAAGTTTAATCTATTATATGATAAGAAACACGAACAAACAACGAATACTTAAATTTGCTTGCTAATAAAACTTCTGATTATTAGTTAGAACTTTAGAAGAAAGATAAAAAATGCAAGAGGTACATTATATTGCTTTTGTTTAAATTTTAGACCTTTAATTATTTCAAAAATAATTCCAAAGTTTAAATAAATTTGAATATTGTCAAAGTTTCAGCACAATATACGATTTATTGTATATTGTAAGTTGTTTGTTATATTTACAGTCAAACAACAACAGTTCCGAGAAATAATAATTCTTTGTTCATTAAGGTTTTGCAATTTTTAAAAGTTGTTGACCAAAAATAATGAGTTATATTACATTTTTAAATATACCTAAATGTTATATTTAATTAAATAATATTGTTTTTAAAATGATAGTAAAATGTATAATTTATTTTCAACCTTACTATTGGATTTATCACGATATTTTCTCACGTTTTTTCTTAAAAATTAATAAGATACATTTTAAGCTCTTTTAAATTTTATTTTTATTTTTTTTAACCAAATCCTTATGGTAACAATATTACCAGCTATGAACGCAAAATGTGATTTTGTGTAAATTGATCTTCATTAAAATAAAATTGTTATCACAATGGCTCACCCTTTTAAAGTGGGTCATCTAAATATAATAACCACTTACTTCACATATAAAGTATGTATTTAATGTAAGCTTGTTTTATTTTCAAATTTATCATACTATACAAAAAACTGGGTACTTTAAATTCACCAGTTTTTCTGTAGAGTTAAGGTGTATGCTATAAACACAGATTTATATTTATATTTTATTTATATATTACCTATTCATATTTCACATTAAGTTATTACAATTGTTCTAAAAATTTACTCAAACATGACTCTATTAAAATACTTATATTGGTAAGAATAAAACTCATATAGAAAACTTATCTTATAGTTTTTATGGATTTAATATTTATTTCAACATAAATGTTGTTATAATATGAATGATCAAAAAGAAAAAGCTATATTCGTATATATAACTGTATTATAATAATTTATAGAGAGAAGAACTTTCTTCTACTAAATGGTAGTACCATAAATGAGTTATAAAACAGTAAGAGTATATAAAAATATTTCGAGGAAAAAACATATCATTCTTCACTGCCGGGTATAATATAGTAATAATGATGGATTTTGAAGTATACTATGTACAATAATTTCAATCTTAAATTTTAGTACTCGCTACATTGGTTTCTAAAATTGTGTATGTTTAGTTGAACATAGATGGTCATTAAACTTTATCATATTATTAACAAAAAATAAATAAAAAGCCAAACCCCAATCTTCCTAGAAAACTTTCATTCTCTCTTGCAATGATGTATTATGTTTTATTTTCTCCTATATTATTATAAATCCATAATGAAGAACGTCAGATACTTTAAGTCCGCCACTTTCTAGAGGCTTTTGAACGATGCTAAAAAAATATCACTTAAACACATATACGCATTTACCAACCGCTAAAAAAAGCCCTTGCTGATCCGAAATCGATAAGACACAATATCATATCCGCACTCCGGGAGAATATTCTTATTTAATATAACTATATTCCCTTATTTTTCTAGCGTTGTTTCCGAACTCTCTTGTGTAATTATTATTGA